CCATGTGAAATGAGTCAAGCAATGAAAAATTGGTAACATAAAATAACAACGTGAAATTTCAGTTATTTTTATTATTGAGTATTAACAATAATTCTTGATGTTGCATTATTAGTCTAGGGTCCCTATTTTGTTTTGTTTGATTTTTCCTATCTATAAGGCTGTTATAGTCTAAGCTGTCACATCTGTTCTGATGTTTTTATATCTTTTCTCATTTCACATGGTACCCAGAGTCCATTGGGTTGCTGATAAGTTGAAATATATAAAATAAAAAATATATTTATTAAACATATATCTTACCATGATGATGACCTTTAATAGCTTACAAAGTAAACAATATAGACATCCATGATATTACTAAAAGACAATTTCATAATAAAACCTCTAAGAAGCAGTAATGAAAAAGTGTTTGAGGGTTTAAGAAAATATTGTATGGAATAACTTAATTTTCATAATTTTCCCAAAGATCAACTGGAAAGTTGATCTGCATATAGAAGGGCGGGGAGTGGGGAGGGAGTGCTTTGCAGTTCAAAACTTTTGTCACCACAACAGAATAGCAGTATCTTCTTGGCTCACCCAAGGCACATTTTGGAAATGTGGGATCTAAACAGAGTTTATCTAAATAATCTAGTGGATCAGGCTGATTGTGGTTGGGTCAGGAGAACTTGCAATTAACTTTAACAGGCTTTGTAGGTCACTACCAGCACTTTAAATTGTATGTGACAAGAGAATGTGGGCTCCACAGAATTACAGTACATCCTTTGTGCTCTCTAAGTTGGGAGAGACAATATGTATATACTGGAGGCTACCATATTCTGGATCAATTTCCAAGTTGTCTTTTAAAACAATTCAAGTAAAGCCAATGAAAGTGCGTAATTTACTTTGCTTCCACAAAATGTAGTGTAACTTTGTAAGTTAGATGGTTTTAAAAGAAGAATAAACAACCTCAGAGATCTTATTTAATTAGCATGATGCCTTTGTGGAGCATTCACTTGGAAGTGACGATAAAATGGGCCAGTGCTTTCATGAAATATATAGGCTTCTTGTTGGTGATGATAGAAAATGGAATGCTAAATTCCATGGACCTTTGATCTTATCCAGCCAGTTCCTTTGGCACTGTTATCCCTTTTTAATTACTGGAATGTAGCCCTGAGAATGTTTCACTGATTAAGTTATGGCATTGCTCCACTAAAAGCAATTAATACTCTGTGCAAATACTCTGGCTTTAGGGCCATTTTTTACACAGTCAGACAAACTGGTACTGGGGGGAAAAACCAGCTATTTCCTCTATAGAGTGAATCACTTCCAGAATCAACTGGTTTTCCTTGATTTCTTCTTGTTGTTGTGGAAAAGAAGATAATAAACTAGACTGTCCATGCAATAGGACATTAATACAAAAGACCCGGTTCATACTGATACTAAGTCTGAATAAAGATATATTTACAAAAGTTAATAATAATAAAGAGAATAAAGATATATTTGTGTTTTTGTATCCAGAATCCCTAAACACATAAATGTTCCAAGATTCTGCTATCCTTTACCAGTAGCACAATGTACTCATTTTGTCTTTAATACTGTTGACTTTTGTAATATAATGTATATGTCATAAAGTTAATAATGTGAATGTATTTGAGTATGTTTTATATATTATTTTATAGGATGGCAATCCACGTTGGAACTACAACCATTTGAGTTAGCAACTTAAGGAATTGCTCACGGCTCTCTGTGTGTGTGCACACAAACATAGCATCATAAAATGACTATGGAATTGCAATAAACCAGACACAGTAAGTTTTAGCATTTATGTTAAACTGGCCAAGGCCCCTAGAATATCATTAAACATGAAGGCTACATAGATTACCTCAACATGACTGGTCGAATGTGTCTTTTTTTGTATAATCCGGTTGGAATGGGGCGAGAAACCCACCCCTGGTATGTATGTATGTATGTATGTATGTATGTA